TTTACTACAGCGAAGTCCGTTGCTTGCATACGCGCTAGAAACACCGCCGATTTGTTTATAGCGCGAACGTTTGTTTCGTGAAAGAATGTCACCGCTATGTTCTCCTAGTTAGAAAAAAAAAGAAAGAAAGAAAAGTCTACAAGAAAATAGAAAAACCGAACAGGCGCAACGAGCTAGCGAGCGAGCGGACCAGAGAAGCGACCAAGAGCAATCCTGGGAAAGCGGGAAAGCCGGCGGTCGTGTTGGCAAATACTTTGGCGTCGGGCCAAGTCGGGCACCTTGTCAATCGCGAGCTCTTGCGCAACTTTCTTGTTTGGTGCGTACATACGTGCGTCCGTGCACGGCGGGCTATCAATGCACGGTTGGGACGCTCTGCAAACATCTGTGTAGGGCGTTCCAGCAAAGCTTTATTTACGCGTTGGCTTTGCCTAAAATATTGCACAACCACGGTCGCGACGGGTCGCGGTGTCCTAGCTTACTTCGGCGTAGACAGACTTTGACTTAACACTCCGCGGTTACATTAACAAACTCTTATTTTGTTATCTCCATCGTTTTATTTTCGCACGGACACATGACCACTTTGGGGTCGCTCACGGAGGAAATGCGTAAACAAAAAGAAGTGTCTTTCCCTCCTTCGTTTTACTTTGTCACGGACGTCCTCCAACTGTGCGGCCGCGTCATTCGGGTAGGATGAGTGTTCGCGGATCGCAAAGTCCGTGCTGGGGTATTTGAAGGGGTGGGCGATGACTCGGTGTTTTTTCGGAAATCGATATTGGCCCAAAAAATGGGGTGGGCGATGGCTCGGGGATGGGCGATGACTCGGGATATTACGGTATACTTGAATTTTTTTTAAATTTATTTTCGGTGGGTTCAATAATTAGGGGTCGACCTATTTTCGGGTAAATACGGTACTCTAGAAAAAATGACTATGGGGGTGGTAATACAGAGCAAGACGCGGTGGCACAGTCGTGTCTGACAAACGAAGAACATATTAACAAAACTGTTCGTATACGACAGCTATGAGAAAGCCAAGGTGATGTTTTGCTCCCAGATTTATGGCTTCACACTCACATTTCACTATCAGACTTAGCTCCTTGCCGATGTTTAGCCGCGAGACTTAGCTTCTGGCTGGCGTTTTGCCATGACACCTAGCTTCAAATTAGTGTTTTGCTATGACACAAACCTGTGGGCATACATTTTGTTATTAAGAGAAATTCAGGCTGACGTTTGTCTAGAGATAGATTCAGAATGGTATTTTGCTTCGAGATAGCTGCAAGCCGACATTTCCCTACGAGACTCAGCACGAGAAGCTCGAGCTCAAATTCGTAGCGAAATACAGACAGCAATTCTGAGGTCTCTGAAGGATTCCCATTATTGTAGTACAAGATAAACTTCTATACATGCACCATTTCTACTTGTTTTGGTCGAGATAAACAATTCGGTGGTGCATAATGCATGCTGCAGCGACAACGGCTACTGATGCGGCTGCAGTGTGGGCCATGTATAAGCTGTCGCATCTTATACTAAGCAATAGAGGGCAGGTGTCTGGCACCAAATGACTGCAGTAGCTTGCCAGACGGAAAGGCAGCGAGAAAATATGGGTGCGGAGAGAATGGTGGGGCAAGGCAGAGATTGTAACACTTTTCTGTGTTTGTGGTGGCATTGGTCAAGCTCAATGGTCAAGATTAATGGCCGTGACATTGAAAACTAACACATCGGTGTTTTTCTCCAAACAGCCCTTCCTCTGCCACAATGTCTTAACAGATTGGGGGAAAAACTAATCCAATTCCGTGGCACGAAAAGATATGAACTCCCTGCCTAACAATCTTTGATGTTTGCATAATTTCATCCAAGCACTGAAACAATACTTTTTGCTTTCTTAAGTCACCTTCACCCTCATAACCATCCTCCTGGTTTAGTGAAATTAATATGGCTATGATCATACAAGTATTTTCGTATACTTTTTGTTTTATAGTATTTCCATCTACTTTCATAATAACGTGCATTGCTCACTCTACACTTCAGACGCCTTATTTTAATGGAGCCAAACTCACCGGCTGGCTATGGGTCCAATGCTTTTACAGCGGAACTGTTAAGGGCTAGGTTCCCCAGGATCGTGTCCGGTATGTCGACACAAACCTGCCTGGACAGCTAGTGCCATCTAAAAGCGACGGCGGCAAGCACACAACCAGTCTGGTTACTGCCGTCACTCATAGATGGCGGCAACCTTTCCAGCTATCATGGAAGAATGGATAGTTGGGCGCGTTGGTGAAAATTCATCGTAGGAAACAGCGTGAAAAACAGACGACAAAGAAGAAGCACACGTAACGAGCGCAGCGCTCGTCACGTGTGCTTCTTTGTCTTCGTCTGTTTTGCGCGCTGTTTCCTACGCTCTTATCAGTTTCGGTTTGGACTCGGGATGGGTCGGCTGCGCGCCCTTTCGTGGAAAGGAGACTGGCTGCGGAAGGAGTGGCGACGTACGCAGCAACGCGAATGGGTCCGCAACCGCCGCAAAGCCGCTGTCGCCTCGACTTCCACTGCGTCCAGCGCTTCAGATTCCCTTGCCAAAGAGGAGCACATCGCTCGCCTAGAAAGCCTCTGCCGAGAACAGTAGCAGCGATGTAAAGGGCACCGGTGGGCCAACGCCACGGACGACGATCGTGCCACGGAGGCAAAGCGCAAGCGCGAGTTTCGGCGATGACAGCGCTCCACGCTGGCTGAACAGTTCCAGAGTGCGACGGCGAGGTTCCGGAGGGGGTTCGTGGAGAACCCGTTTGTAGTCACGTGCGCCGTGTGCGACCGACTCTGGTTCGCCGGAGACGTATCCACGATCGGCGGCGTGTTGGACGAAAAGAAGCGGGAAACGGGTGCGTGTGCATTGCGGCAGTGTATCGAGTACAGCTCCGCTGGTCTTCCTTCTTCACAAGAGTGGAAAGGCTGAACGTTTTTCAGTAACATGTATCTGTCTTACTGCAGTGCCCACCATAGTTGCCTGCCACGGAGTGTGTGGGCAAATGGCGCTACAGTCATTAACAGCTCAAGAAACACAGGGCATGTCTTATTAAAGCATCAGGCACTTTCTTACGTAAACCCCCAATCCCAAAGAATCTGCTCATTTTTTGCAAAATTTAGCGGGAAAACTAGATCAGTATTTAGGTCCCGTGACATCAAGGGACGTCACATGACCTGGCGTCACGTTATCTGCATACCAATTAAGTTTCCCCACCCCAGTCGGCTTGGCAATTGATGACACGTGACATATGAAACAACTCAGTTTCCCCGTTAAATTTAGCAGGAAATTGATGTCACTTGACCTGATATCACGTGACCTATACGCCAACACAGCTTCCCCACTAAATTTAGCGGGAAAATAGAAGCAACGCGAGTTGACGTCACGTGACCTGTACACCAATTCAGTTTCTCTGCTAAATTTGGCGGGGAAATTAATGTCACCTGCCCCGGTGACACCCGACACATCGATACAATTTAAGAAGAAAATTGACGCCACGTGACCGAAATACATATTTAGTCTCCCCACCAAATTCGGCGGGAGAATTGACGCTACGCGACCCGTGCACTCAGTTTCCCCGCTTGTCGTACCGGGCAGATCAATAAAAATAAATGTTTGTCTTCGCTCCCGGAAACACCGGTCTTCTAAATAATTTTGAACGATCGTACCTTAAACATGGCCTTTCGCGCATTATATAACTTTGGAAACAGAGGTCGCTGCCAATTTTTTATGTTCGAACTTCTCCCTTCGCGATTTGTTCCTCGGCGTTAGCGCCGGCCAATGCCACAACCTCATCATGTGCAGAGTGACGCCGAGACGCGAGGAACTTGCCGTGTCCCGCGTTTCTCGGGCTGTCACCGACCACTGGGGATGTGGTTTGACCGTCACGCTCCTAGCGGCTGAGTTCGGATTTAAACCCGTCGCGATGACAATAACGCGGGTTATATGCTCGCGTCTCTGCTGTAACCCTTGACTGAGTTATCCCGACGCTACGTCAGCGTTCGGGTGGGGCTCGTGTTAAATCGGGGAGGCACCAATCGAACACCAAACGAACGCCGAAGTAGCGCTCGTGTGCAACCCGTGCAACGCACTCGATCGGAGAAGACGACGTAAAAACGTGTTCCACGGGTCTCGTGTTGGGTAAACACCGAGCTCCGTGGAAAGCAAACCGAACTAAGCGCTCCCTATAGTTTGACCTCCTCGCCTATAGGGGAGGCGATACTGCCTAGTGCTTTCATTCAGTCATGGTGGCGGGCGATTCTAAGCGGTCCGCGCATCGCGACGTCGCAAGCTTGGTGGAAACTCCAATAACCGTGCTACAACTGCGTGCCCTACGGATGCAACAACGACTGCAGTTTGCCGAGGACGGATCAGACAGAATTACGCTAGGAGCACTGGAAGCTCCTGGGCAAATTATTGTCTCTATAGTCGCCGAGAGAGAGAATGGAAACGGCAGGACGCGTCTCTTGAATGCCTAGCCTCCGTCCAGCACGTGCTCCGTGCCTCCCGATGCGCGCTTGAAGTGCAGAAACGTGGTTGCACTCGTAGACGTGGTCTACAAGTAAGAACAGACGACACAACGTTCTACGTTAATTAGATGGCCGAAGTTAGCGCATTGTCTTGTCTGTTCTTCCCTCTTGTTCGAACCTATAAGTGCGACCGTGCGTTCAAAGATGCTCTTCTGCGCAGTCTTCACCCTGTTGGCGACAGTGGTGTTTCCAGATTTCGCAGAGTTGCTCATTCTTGGCCAAGGAATGAATTAAGCTCAATTAAGCTCAATGGGGAAATTGATAAAAACAGAGGTTTGCATTTACTCCCTGAAACGACGGTTTAATGTCTTCTACATAATTTTAAACGATTGCACCTTAATTACTAAATTTCACGCATCATTGGACTTTCCAGATAGAGGTCGCTGCTAATTTTTTAATCACCCTCGTAATAAAGGTTCATAGAGTTCCTCCTCACAGGAGCCAATCGAGTCGGCAGTCACCTGATAGAATCCCGTGTGGTAGCCGCTCATGTACCAGGACATGAGCATCGAGGACAGGGCTTCGTTGTCCTTGATGTCCCCGGTGAAAGGCGGGGGAGGGGGCGGGGGAGGGACGGACGGAATCCGCTGCAAGAAATTTATACGGTTGAGCCCGGTTACACTGAAGTTGACGGGAAATGGAATTATGTTCGCTATATCCGGAAATAGCCATTTCTGGACTTTGCGAAACATCGCAATTTCTTTTATGCTTATGGCACGTCGAAGTCGTGCAGGATATACCGTATTGTTTGAACTATGATCTGCAGGCTGTACGTGTAAAAAAATTTAGTCTTTCTAAAATTGTTCATTACGATGAGACGGTGACGTATTGTGTGATTGACAAAATGTGTTAACGATGATTTATGTATAATGCAAGCTTCTTCGTGGGTTAATGAAGCAGGCATTTATCAAGGTGTGCTACGTACGGGAATTTTTATGGCAGGAGTAGATACCAGGTACAGGCTGTGGCACAGGGTGCAGACTATATAAGGAAAAACTTTTATTTTTCGTACGAAATTTGTTTCTGGCGGACTGGACACCAGGTGTGGAACTTAGTCCGGAAAATATGGTAGTATAAGCTGGATATTGCTGCAACTGCCACAACGCACGAGCACACATTTTAACTTGCCTGGAGGTGGGCTTCTCCCTAAAATCCCCAAGTTCTTCATATTCAATATTTCGCTATAAGCGGGTTCGTCATAAGTTGGCTCGACTGTGCCTACATCGCCGACACTTTGTATGAATGATAAGGTAGGTAAGGTAGGAAATACGTTCACACATAACAGTAAATAGAGAAACTAAGCAGAACTGTGTACAGGGTGTCTAGCAAATTATTATCTTGAAATTCCCTGACTTTTCCAGGTTTTCCCTGGCAATTTCAGGAGAAATTCCCTGACCACTGTAGAGGCGGTGAAATCCATAAGACCATTACAACACAAGGCATTGAGCACGGTGGGGGTCATTTTGCACAGGCTTAATCCAACTTGCACATTCCGAAATATTCGGGTTCGTCCAGTCCGGACTAAACGAGCACTTTCTTGCTGCCCACAATGTCAGTGAAGATGCCACTTCCGGAAGCACTATGAAAACACGACTCTCAACGACACACGTCAATAACCGAATGGCTCCCCAACCATACCGTGGGGAACTTTTTCAGTGTTTTTAAAAACCCGTTTGGGAGGATTATGACAAAGAGATTAAAAAAATATACAAGAAAACAAGTTGAAGGTTCAGAAATTATGCAAGCTTGATCATACTCACAAGCGCTTAGGCGCCCGTTTCCGAGTATAGCTATGTCGCCTTCTGCGTTGCTGTCAGTGTAACCGTCCCGCTAAATTGAGCGGGAAACTGAATCGGTGTTGAGGTCACGTGACGTCAATTTTCCCGCTAAAAGTAGCGGAGAAACTGAATTTTTTCATGGTTGGCGCGACACAAAGTCATGTGACGTCATTTTCCTCGCTAAATCTAGCGGGGAAACTGGATCGGCGTTGAGGTCACGTGGCATCAATTTTCCAGTTAAATTTAGCGGGGAAACTGTGGGAGGTGGGGAGGGTATAAAGGAGGGTAGGGTACGGAAGAGGAAGGGAGGATACGGAGGAGAGGAGGGTATGGAGGAGGAGGAGGGTCATACCCTCCCCTCTGTACCCTCCCCTCCTCTTCTCAAGAGCTGCGCTCTAATTTGGTATTAGAGATTTGTAAACGCTGTGGGAGCCGAGGATGAAAGACGAGGCGGAGGGCACGTGACAGGTGGTCGGCGGAGAAGACACGGGCTTGCGCGAGACAGTGCGAGCTGAGCGAGGCTGGTAGCTGGACAAGGAACGTCGAAGCCAAGCTGACCTGGCCTGGCCCATAACAAACCCCGGAGCGCTCCACCAGCGAGGTCTGGAGCAAGACCGGTGGAAACGGCGAGCCCGGGCCATATGACCTGGGCTATGACAATCCCGGGGTGGTTCCGCAGCGAGACTCTGGCATTGATAGCCCGGGACAGCCAGCCTATGCAGCGCTGGCGTGGGAAAGGCTATCCGCAGGCCTGGACACGGACCCCGACTGTGAGCTCTGATCGACGGGCGACAACAAGGGCCGGGAGGCCTGGACTACCGGCTCTCGACGACGGGCAACCGAGAGGTACAGTAAACACAGTAAACCCATTCGCTGTCTTCTCGTTGCAGTGTGTAACTCCCTGGATGACGGGCGGAGCGCATACCGATCGGGCGACGATTATTAGTAGAGGAATCTCCCTCCGTAAAGAACCCCACAACGTCTCTCATTTGTTATTATCTATCATTATGTTGTTTTTTTATTTTCATTTAAAATGTGCTGCTTTTGCCAGCTCATTTTCATGCAAATAGAATTATTACCTTGTCCACAGCAGCCGCGCTATGCATCTCAGTGGCCATAGTATACGTCTGCCACCGCACCGACCCAGTTTTGAGCTCTGCTGGGGCCTTTTTCTTACATTGATTTTAGGCGGGCCTTTGTAAGCTTTATATGTAATCTTGACAATGTGTCCCAGCAAGACGGTCGTTCGTGACGCTTGTTCCCGACGTTTGTTTATGACAATTTTCTCATATGAAAACTTGTAAAACATAATCCATGTTAAAAAGCTTAAACTTACGGCCACAGTGTTGGAGAAGGCAGACCGGCGCTGACGCTTCCACGGTTCTGCGGAAACCTGAGGGAGACAAGATGGCATGTCAGACAGACACAGAGCTTGCAACGTTTCTCAGAAAGCCAGTTTGAAGGTAGGTGCATTATCACTTTAAATAAGAAGTTTTTGTTGAAAAAACTGAAAACAACTTCAAAATGTATTGTACTCAGAAAACTTTTCACATTTTTTTTTGTTTCTAGTCTGAAGCCACGGGAAGGTGCACATATTCAGGTTGAAGCATATGGGAGATGTAGTATTATTAGCCTCTTTGTACTTACTGGTGGTAGAGATACTAGATGTAGTTTATTGCAATTACTATCCTATAGTCTTGAACAGTAACTAGTTACTAGTATAACTAAGATGCTTTTTTGGGAAACTTGTAAATGTAATGCATTACTGTTCAGTGGAAATAACTTGCAACTGTAACAGGGTTACTATTAACGTGAAACATTCTTTGGCTAGGCGCTCGGCACTTCGTGATGCCAAAAAGTGAAGCCTAGATAAAGGCCTGGCCGCCAGTCTCGACACCAGTTGGTTTCGAGTGGGGAGGGGAAAGAGGCCATCCCAGTAAAAAAGCATTTTCACCAGGCGGGAATCGAACCCTGACCATTTAGGCACATTATTAAGCAAGTGTCTTTCCAGCATGTCATGCCCGACACATCGCCGTGAGTTGAGGTGCTTTTAATGTGAAACATTCCTCGGCTAGGTTCTCGGCATTTCGTGAGGCCCGGATAAAAGCGTGGCCGTGAGGCTCAGCACCGATTGGTTGAAGGGTGGGAGAGGAGGAGAGAGACTCTTGATGCTGATTGGTTAACGGGGATGTCATGTGACCTGAGGAGTAGGCAGGGAGGAGCTCCACCACCTGTGCGCACTGAGGGAGAGGAGCTGGAGAGTTTGGAAGGCTCCGGAAGATCGCCAGGTTTATCAGCTCGATTAGCAGTAGTATCGCTTCCTTCTAAGAACAACTATCAAGTGGATAGACGATGCACATTAAACTATCTGTCGAAGAGCGCCGTGAGCGTGGGCGTCTGGCATCTGGAAAGTCAGAGTATCGCTAAATGTTTATGATTCTAGAATGTTTCATGTATGCAAAACAACTTCCCATCAATTTGTCATCAATTTTGATTGAAAGTAACTCTAAATAACTGTAAAAGTAACGTTGTTACAACTACATACAGTTTTTGGCGTAAAACTTACAAACATGGCCACCAAATCGGTCTCGAGCAAGAGAAGAAAAGGATGGAGAGATAGAAAAGAAAAAAAAAGGAAGTAAATAGTGAGTGGTCCCTGCTTGGCCAGGCTGGGCCCGCCAACTGGGGAATGGGGACGATCGTGTCCCTACTCGTGTGTGGCATTTCACCCCCAGCGCACGTTAACAAAACAATGCACGGCATCTTTAAACAAATATTTTTCTCTTCGTTCGACTCGGGGAGTGGATATTTTTGCGGAAAACAATTTTTTGTGGATGTTGTCAAAGCATGCCCATGGTTTAGGGTATACAACCGATTTTCCAAACCTTGTCTTTTCGCCGCTAGGCGTATGTTTCCCTCTAGTTTGAATCATCCAACTGCGTTTTTGTGGGTCTCGGCTTCTGGCCTTAATCTCCCACTCCAAACCACCTTCCCTTTTTTTACAAACCAATTAGCCCCTTCTCCCATCTGCCACTTTCTTGTTGCCCATTTCTCTGCTTCCCGAGTCCTGTCACTCGAGAAAGAGCATTCGCTGTACTCTGGGTCACTAGTTGTGTGCAGTACAGGCGAAGACAACTCCAGGAGAGGGGAAAAAGGGCAAACACTAGAAAGGGTGGAGGGGAGGAGAGAAACCTCCCCTCCTCTCGAACGTTCCTAGCGCCCTCCCCGCCTCCCTCCACCCTCCTCTCCCATCTGCCTTTCTAGTGCTCGCCCTTTATCCCTTCGCCTGGCATTGCCTTCGCCTGCACTGCACACAACTAGTGGCACGGGGTACAGCTCGAAACACTTTCTCTGTCGTTCTGCTTTTTGTGCGATTTCTTGAAAAAGGGGCATTTGGCATCACTTCATTTATAGATGTCTGCATCATTGGTTGTCCCGATGGTCTCTTCTAGTTGTGTTGGTGAGATGAAGAAATGAAATGTCACCAATCTGCAACTGGCAAGGGAACTATTGTCGAGCTGGACAAAAACAGCCGATTAAAATTCTTGACACACCTACTGTTGTACCTCAATATGTGCTTCCTTTAAGCCTTTGCCGTATGGTGTCCACCTGATTTGAGGAAGTAGTATGAGTGCAACATTGATTCTCAAGTTTTCGAGAGAAGCACCGTATTTCATGAAAGATTGTGCACACGACATAGAAAAGGATTCAACCGACAAGTGGATCAGGGTCACTTAAGAGAACATTTACAAAGTGGATTGCAAAATAGTGGCCTAATATTTGCAAGATTTTTATTGCTTCCATTGCATTTCCCCTAAACGAAAAAATCTGAAGTCATGACTGACTGATTGCAAACTCGCACTATGTTTGGATATACCCGAGAATATCTGTCAAAGGTATACATGTCTAAACCTTATAGTTGTTGGGCTTATTTTCAAGTTTTCTTGGCTTCTGGATTATCAACCAATAAAAACTCCTTGCAAAGAACAAAAGGGGCACTAAACCACTCTCTGCAATAGTCCATTTATGGTCAGAACTCAATCTACGGGCGCTAACATCCTAAAAAAACCAAACATCATGTTTATCCGTGGCTGATCTCCCTATTAAAATTGGTATCAAAGATGGATTACTTCATAACTATCGCAGACGCCAGACGGCGCCATCGGACGAGGCAAAGGACTTCTTGTCCGACACTGCCCTCTGGTGTCTCCAATAGTAGCGAGGTAATTAATTTTTGATACCGAATTTGATAGAGGAATCGGCCACCTATAACTGGCACAGATCGTGCAGCAACTTAAAATTCAACTTTGAAAAATTGTTTTTCTACCTCACGAATTGTGAGTTCTGAAGCTACGAATTTTTAGGGTAATGTCGAGGCATTGTTTTCAATCGTTTCGGATAATAAAAAGAAATATGATTTTGACCCGGAAAATATCTAAGGAACATGGAAACATTCACAGTGTGAAGAACTCCAGCCAGGTAAGCGAACCGCTGAGCGCGTTAAGTCAAACTCGCGCATAGTGCACGAGTTTGACGTTTTTTACACTTGAGCACGCTCTTCGTGCGCCGAGTATTTCTCGCTCCGTGACGTCACGTCCCCAAACAAGATGGCTGCACTGTAGTCGAGACGAAGGGTCCAACAGGACCGCTGCCCCTTTTTAGTTAAATAGTGCTCAATTCAGCAGGTAAAAGTGATTTGATTTGAAAGTGAGGACAGCAATTAGCGATATGGAAAAGGTTTGTTTGTGCATCTCTTCTGAAAAAGAATTCATCTATCAAACGGTAGCATGCCGACAGCACAGCGATAAAAAAGTTGTCGAGCTGAGAAGACCTTTGGACCACTGTCCTATTTAGAATTCTTAGCCCAGCGAATAAAAATTCTTTGATTGGAAAGCAGAAACATCAGTTAGCGTAACGGAAAAGGTTTGTTCACGCACCTCGCCTGAAAACGAATTGACGTGCTATCTACTGAAAGGGGGTGTGTCGGTATCGGCATAGCACATGGACGGGCTCCGTTTCGCGCTGCAAGATGGCACAAAACATCTGACAAGTTTGACAGCTTCCTGCGTCAACAAGCGGGTTCAAGAGTATTGTCTTTGATTCAAATCTGAGCAGCGTGCGTGGTCATTAAATAGATCGGCCAAGGTAACTCTCCGCATATGTACTCGAAGCGAATCTTCAAACCTTTCAGGAATATTGAAACATTCGTAAAAGCTTTCTCACGTCACCATCTTTTTTTTTTTTTTTTTTACTTTACACTTTGCTGCTCCACAGAGGCCCTAATGAATTTATCTTCGGAGTAATTTCGGCCTCTGCCACGCGTATCACGAGATGCCGGGTTCGTCATAGCCGTGCGGTCGGAAGTGGCTCACGAGGCTGGTCGATAGTCTCGGCCCGTTGCGCTCCTGTAAGCTATGCTCCGTTTAGTTGCTGCGCTCAGAGTATGACACTCGGAACGTCGGAGTAGGAGTAAAAGAGTGCAAACTTAACGCGCCCACTGACTCATTTCGAAGATAACCGCCCCTAAGCGATGTACTGCTTACCGCTTGTGGAGCATCCCACTGTGGTAGGTGTGGAGGGAAGCTACTGGCATTGGCATGAATGCTCTGCAAACAATGAGACAGCAAGAATAAAAAAAAGTGGAACTGTAAGAGAACTGGTTAGACCACAGCACCAACAAGGTGGCCCCTCATGGCTCTTATACGAGTGGCTGGAGCTACAGAATCTTTCCAAAGCACTGAAACCACCAAGCTTTCTTTCAGGAACATGCCGTAGCATACAAGGATCATATAACTTGCTGCCACCATAGCACTAAGTTATGTGATCCTTGTACACGTGACTTGACACGATCCAGCGTCGTGTCACGTGGCAACACAAATGAAGCAAGGCTCGACGCGGGTCACACAGTTGCGTGACGTTATTGCTGTGTTGTGTTGTCGTGTCGCATCACAATGCGTCGCCTGATATCACGGTGCCGCGTAACACCGTGGCATACACGGAGGGTCACAGTAAATGATTTCTTTAGCTTTCATGTCTTCCTTCGGACATCAACATGACTTACATTGTGCAACCAGACAGCTTGATGGGTTCAATTTTTCAGTTCAAGAAGATGCCAAGACATGAGATATTCCAGAAAGATTCAGTAGCTTTAATGAGGACTATATTTGCTGTAACCTCAAGCAAAGAGCACATCTTCAGCGTAATTCATATGCTGAACATAGTACCGTAAATGACTTGCTGCTTGTGAGGATCTGATTTCAGTCAATTTCGGGATTATGTGGATACATCGCTTCATATTGATAAATATATGGCATGCCCCTTCAAATCGTGTTGTTTTCTTTCCGCGAAATGCCAGTCCCAAAACCGTTACTTCTCATGTTCTGCTAAATATGGAGACCGTAAAAATAGAGTCATTCACAATAATTCTAATGAATTGGTCCTCAGAGCAAAAGACTAAAGTATGCGTTCTGCATTTGAAACCGCTATGTTTTGGTAAAGATAGTCCATTCATAAGTGCACAACAAGGATCTTAATTCACAAAATAAGGTAAACAAATACTAATCATTTTCTGTGAACTGCCGAACTACTAGAAAAAAGATTGATCATCCACTATTAACCGAGCTCTGCAGTGAAGTGAAATCGAACGCAGGCCGAAGTTGCGATCTTCCGCTATTTCCTGCCGGAAGCCATTAAAAACCCACGCTTAATTTGCAAATCTCAAGTCGTTCTGCTGCCCTACACGAGCTGACATCGACTGGTGGATGAAAGAGTTGTAAAGACATGTACATCTGGGGTTGCGAGGCCTTTCCCACTATTTCTATGTGGGCAAGACGTTCTCACCAAGATATTGCCTGATCGCAAACGGGTTAAAAAATGTCTCATTGGTCGATTACGTGCAAGTCATGACACCACGTCCGATCCGCAGCCGAGAGTGCCCTCACTCTCAGCTTGACCAAAACAAGACCCCCGGCCAAAAAGACGAACGAATGCGAATGTCGCCGTCATTGCTGCGTTCGAACTCGCGGCTGCCGAACCTTCTGCGGACTCAAGCCGGACAGCAACTTTCGGCAGAAGAGACGTTTGCAGTATTCGTCCCTTCTGCCGCCAAGGTTGTGGCAGGCAACAGCGTGACGTCATTGGGCAGAAATCGGGGGACTACAAACGAAAACGCAATAAACGAGTCGGAGACTCGTCCGAGGCACCGTAACCAGAGTTACATTTCCTCAATATATACCCATAAATCCCAAAAGGTAACCCCTAACCGGTTTATCGAAATCGAGGAAAGCCGAGGAGCTCGGAATTAGAGCTGCCCATGAACAGATGAAAAAACTCACGCTTTGCGGAAAGAAATCTTTATCTAGTCTCATTTTGTGTTTACCCAGAACGCAGCTTTCAAAGAATTGTCCGCAAGGCTGCTACTTTCTTTGAGAACCACATCCCTCATCCAATTTCTTGCCCCCATTGGTAACGAGACAGTTCATGAGCATTTGGGACATGCGCGCGTTTCCTGAAGGTCGCGGAATCTGTCCAATCTACAGGATCAGATTCCCTGACCCTGCAGCAGCGTCTCGGGCTCTTCGACAGAAGCCCCGATAAATGCCAACCTCTGGTCCAACGTACAAAAAAAAGAAAAAAAATCCACACAAAAAAACTTCTTAAAATTTGAGAAAAAAGAAATCCCGAAAACGCAGATTTCTAACCATAACGAAGGCGAGATAACTATTGCGCAGTTCCTTGGGTTCAACCAATTTAACTTAGAATATGGCGCCCGTGCCATTCCCCATTCCACGTCGTCGCTAGTGGATTAACGCCGTACCGCCCAGCTGCGTCGGTGCGCGACGTTAGCGCACGACCGTTGCCAAGACGGACGCGTCTGCCTTTGTGCGGCGTTTCTCGTCAAGCTTCGGTAGGCTTGCCTCTGGGGACAGGTCAGGAATCCCATAACGACGACGTCCTACGCAGGCCTCATCTTCTTACGGGGGGTGGTTCGATCCGCCCGGTGCGGGCCGCAGACGCGCCGAACACTCACGCTCTCGGCCCTCTCCCGCTGCGCCAGGCGAGCCCGTCTGCCCTCCGAGGGGTGGAGGTCGGCCACAAGTACCCGCTCCTCGTTGCCGTAGCCGATGTAGTGCACCGTGCAGTGCTTGCCCTTCAGGTACTTGATCTTGGCCTCATAGGGCAGGTGGTCGCCCGAGTACACCGCGATGCAGTAGTCGCCCTGCTTCCACCCCTGCACGGAACTCGCATTGTCGGTCCGGGGTTCTGGACCGCCGAAGTTCCGGCGCGGTGCCCGGAACGACTCTCCGACCGGTGTGTTTGGCGTCCTGTTCTGCCCACGCGTCCGAAGCGGTTCGGAAGTGGCAACAGTCGACCTTGCGAAAACCCGAGTGTCGTGCTGTCGGACGTCTCAGTCCTGATGACTAGTAGCAGACGTTCTGGCACACACCACGAGCAAACGCGAGTTTGCTCGTCGTGTTTGCTGGAACAGGCACCTGCCACATAAACCAACTGCTGCTGCGACACTGCCAGAATCACGGCCGCCAATGGCAGCACACTTTTGCAACGTCGTCGAGCGGAAATCGAGAGACCAATCTTTTGGACGCGGTAAACACAGCAGTCGGAGATGGGTTCGAGGCACCCTAGTTTTTGGGACCCCTTCTTTACTGACAAATGTGATGGGGGGGGGCCCCATCCACCAGGAGGGGCTAAGGGGCACTTACAATAACGAAAGGATATACAGTAAAACCTCGTTATAACAAAGTTGAAGGAGCGGTCGTAATTATTTCGTTAAAACCATTAGTTTGTTATAGATAATGTCCATTTCTTCCCACTATTAGCAAGCAAGGGGAATTATGATTGCTTTGTTATATCCCTTAGTTTGTTATACTCCATTTTGTTATAACGAGGTTTTGCTGAATGAGAAAAAGAAATTGCGTGCAAACACACATTGAAGTTTTGAAATCTACAATAATCAACCCTACTTCCTGGGCAAGTATGGTTGGGTCTATCTAGAGCTTTATAGAACCATCATCAATTAAAAAGAACAAGAACATTTTATTACTTGGTTCAACGGACGGTCGAGGGCTTCGCAGACCGTAAAAAAGAGTCCACGGACCCCCTTTGAAAACTGAACCACACGGTGTTTTTTTCTAGGCTTTACAGACTGTTCTCAAGAAACTTGAAGGCTACACTAATGCGGTCTATCCAGGTGAGCTATATGGCCAGGCGGACATGATATAGTGGGCTAATCCTCACAATAACCGGGATAATTAAACAAAGTATGTTAATAAATTTTATACTGTCGTCGTCTTTTATCTTGCGGACCCATTATCAAACATTTGAAAATCGATTATTCAACTTGACAACATGGTGATTTGAGCTGCACTTGATACCGTCTTTTGTGGCGAAACACCTCTACAGTCGGCGCTGAAATGAGCATCAACACGGCGACAGCCAGTGAAACGGGGAGCGACGACAAAAATTTAGCAGTCGCTGGAGCTTTGAGGACAGTTCAGCTTTCTCCTGATAGATGGTGTTGTGGGACTTTTAGGCCACATGCTCACCCACGCTCTTTCATATCGTCCACAACCGTATAAAAAGCCCCATAGAAAAATTTAAAATTTCTTTTTTACCACAAAGCATAAACTAGCATTGTCAAACGCTTATTTTCCACCCCAATGCAGCTCTAATTCAGCCCAAACTAGATGCCAAAGATTCAGAACCAACAGTTACCTTATTCAAAAGTTATAAGTGATTTTCTTAAACTTTTAATGGGAAAAGGCGGCTAACTCAGCCCTCCAAAACATGGAGGTGAATGATGCCAGTTATGAAAAGCGGGCCACAATTCAGTATTGAAATTTTTAAAAAATCACTTAACTTTTGAGTAAAATAATGGTTAGCTCTGAAATGGCATCTGATTCCAACTGCCAGTGCCACGCTTGGGCGGAGGCTGGGCGTTCAGAGATGCCTCGTTTATTTCTGCCGCGAGAATAACCCTGTTAACTTTCTGGGGGGACACACTGTAGCTTCTTGCGAGAACTAGCGATGCATTACGTCCTGTCGCTCCTTTCTGCAGAAATTTTAGGAGCTGAAAATTTCTTTTCAGACGGCCGTTACCAACTGCCTTTTGCGGTACAATGCACATCCCACAAACATGCTCGGCAGTTATAACTGCCAGTGCCAAGTGAAACTCACAGTTGGTGGTTCCGACTGTGAGGCTTGTGTTTCGGAAGAAGTTCGACTGCGTCTGGAAATCTCGTCCTGCAAGATGGACTGTAGTCAGTAAAGCTGGGCTGACACAAGGCTAGCATTTTGCGCAATCATGACTTTGCTGGACCATAGAAGAACTGATACCCACTCATCGCGGTCGACTCCTACTCAAAATGGATCGAGCTCGTTCTTGTGTCTACGCCGTCAGCAGAAGCTGCAATTCCTTGCCTGTGGATGATGTTTGTCTGTCATGGACTAGTGGATCTAGTCGTATCCAACAACTGACCGGCATTTGTAAGTAATTGCTTTAATAACTTCCTTCAAGAGAACGGAATAAGGCAAATTCAAATGCCACCATATCAGCCAGCATCCAATGGAGCCGCTGAGCAAGCGGTTCAAACCAAAAAGATTAAGCTGAAAAAGGCAGCCGATGGAAGTTTCCACTGTGAGCTGCCCCAAATCTTGCTCAACTACAGAACTCCAACCCATGAAACCACAGGGTTCACTCCAGTAGGGTCACTGATGGGTGGCAAGTTAAAGACTGCTTTGACTCTACCTCACCCGGACCTGAGGTCAACCATGTTAAACAAGCAACTCAGGCAGAAGATAGCATACAACAAGGGTGCTCGACTGATGCCAACTGTCCAGCCGGGTGATACCGTTTATGTTTACCACTAGATGCTCTGCCCAAGCGGCGCCTCAAACCCTAACAGCTGGACATCAGCAAGAAGGCACTCAGCCTGTTCCTGAGACTCCACTACTGATAATTCCTGGAGCTTCGCTACTGAGGATTCCTGGCACTCTGCTACCGAGAAGCAATCGAGCACGAAAGCCTCCTGTGCGCTTTTAACCACGAAGATTGGCGGAACCTCGGCTAGTTTCGGTTAGGGAAGGGGAATGTGACATATGCAGAGCGCAAGTTCGTCTGCTAGTTTTTCGTCATAACGTCGTCATAACGTTGAGCTCTGATTGAAGGATACTGGGTAGACCTCAAGGCAGCTTGCTTTGAGGTCTACCCACTATCCTTCAATCAGAGCCAATCAGAGCTCAACGTTATGACGTCACTACAACCCTCGGCAAAAGAAGCAGACGAACTTGCGCTCCGCATAGCCAGATGGCGCCCCTGCGCACCTGGCATATAAAGAGCACAATAGGTCGTGATAAAGAGCATATCGCACGAGATTAAAAGACACAAACACCGGTCAAGCTTGCGTGTCGCGGATTATCACAGTAGTATTTTCAGGCAAGCAACAGGCAGAGATAACCAACACGGGAGGCTGCTCAACCTGCACATGTGTTTCCGGGCATTTTAAGACTAGGTTGAACTCGAACATTAAATACGAGCTTATGGAGCTGGAGCATTCTTTTGTGCTTTGCCGATGCCAGTAGCAGCGTAGCGGCTTTATTCCAAGCGCCACACGCGAATGAACGATAGCATAGCCCAGAAAGGGACCACGAAACCTACCTTAATTTTGGAGACGGCACGGTTGTAGGCAGCGATCATCTCGGTATCGTCCCAGATCTCGTCATCTTGGAACTTTAGGCGGAAAAATTGCGTTTAGAAAGGTGATCGGAAAAAGATGTGGCTGAAGAAACACAACGCCAGTACCTCAGTTCTCCTCCACAAGACGCTTCCTTTCGCCATGGCCCTCGTTGGAAAAGTAGTCGCAGTTACGCTAAAGCTGTATGCAGGTTTGCAATATTACTTACTAGGAATGTGAACACTACCGAGCGTACAGTCTTTCGAAAACTGAAAAGCCGCTACCTACGAGGCACGCAATGTTGAGATGTAAACATTTGTCGAGCGTGCAGGAGGATTGACCGACGGACCGACGCACCACTTGCGGTGGCTATAGGAACAATCGACAGCAGAAAAGTTCTCCATCAAAGAAACAGGTATCCACTTAAAACCATTTTTTATATAGCAAGGAAGTATAAATATTGAGAAAAAATTAAACAAAGAGAAAAACTACGGTAGACACAAACGTTTCTTTTTGGGAAGAAACATTTCTTGGCATTGCACTCGCTAAACACATTCACACGGCGTCGGTTCTTGGTCGGTATCCAAGCGCGCGAAGGCACAGAGACACGGCACCAGCCGAGTGCAGCTGTAGCCTCCACCATGGTAAAGAAAAACTAGCGCCACGAGGCGCTAGTGGCAGAAAGGCGAACATACGTCTGGTCGGAGATTAAAATCGGTCTCGAAAGGCTGCCAGATGGCGCCACCACTGCCGTTGGCGTGCGCCCTCGGCGCCCTCCGTCCTCCTCCCCCCCCCCCCCCCCCCCCCCGGTTCTTTTTTTTTTTTTTCTGGTTTGTTTGCTAGGCTGGTGCCGCGCCGACCGCTGTGAGCGGCCAGCACGGCACCGGTCTAGCAGACGAGCCGCGCGCGATATACTTCACAACAACTGCGCTCCACGTGATATTACCAGTGCAATCAAACAGAAACAGCACGTTCATTGAAATGTATTTTTTATTGAACCCCATTCAAATGAGTTGCGGTACTTCAAACACGCATCTACAAACTCCGTTGGCAGTCCACCGCCCTCAAAGGGGAACCAAGAACTGTAGTAGGCGGTAAACACAGTAAAGTTGTCAAACGAAATTAATTACTTTAATGTACAAACTAAGAGAATAGCACTTATCATCGAATTATCTAAATGCTCTATAAACAACTCCCACAAACTAAACTTCTGAATACCCAAACAAACAAATCAACACCGAAATAAAGGAAAAGGCTTGCAGGTGAGCTGCATAAGAATAAACGATGAATAAACCATAAACAAACTCGCTAATAGGCAATGCAATTAAGAAAGAAAGAACTACTGTTTTGGAGTGTCTACATCTCTGACTGTAGGTGCGTTATCGGTACTCTATCCTAACATATAAACACGAAGCTGTCAAATTAACTGAAGATTGCTCTGACAGCAACTCACCCAGAGGAGCAAGTCCTTGCAGCAACGGATTCGTAACAAGAACGGTGGGGCACGCGTTTTTCCACAAACGAATCTTCCCACAACTTGCAAACACGGTAGCACCGAAGTGCTCGCTGCACAAACGACGCTGGCGCAGCTTGCTCGTCGGCAAGCCGGGCAGGCTTCCAAAGTCCTGGCGATTTGCATACGCAATCCATTTCGATGCTCTGATGGAAAAGTCGAGTTTCGAACGATGACAAAAAAAAAAAAAATTGATATAGAAGTTCACGTGTCGTCTGTTGGAAAGCGGAAGAATGAGCACTCCGAGGTTACTTCGCCGCGCTGTAGACTCCGTAATACGCCGTCATGAGGCACGCAAAACACTCGGCAGAATCTCTGTCAAATTAGAGACGTACATCTCTAATTATTATAAGCGCGCAGCAGCGTCGCACCGCACTTTCGATTTTAGCACGCGCGGAACGGTTTGAAAGCTTGGAGTGACGAGCGAGCGCAAACAAAACAAAAAAGACAAAAACGGTCGTTTCCCTTCGCTCTTACTGATTGGTCGGAAGAGCCCAGAGTGCTTCGCTTTCGGTAGCGAAGATCATATACACGTCGCCTGCGCTGAAAATCATAGCGGCGAATATGAGCATAACAGTTTGGTCGGAGTCGGCTGGGTAGACCTACGAATCTGCTCTTTGGATGGACGTACAAGAGAGAAGCCAGCGACGCGGCGCCCCTATCGGCCCAACCGGGAACTCCGGAGCTGCATTCGGATGACGGCACTTCGGCGTGCCAAGGAAGCTTTGAACACGCCGCCAGCCCTTCCTTTCGACGCGTTGTGCCTTTTTCCTGCGACACTGCACTTTCGTAAAATTTTCCACGTGTTCACGATGGCAAGTCTCAACAATACACAGTCTTCAAAAAAACTTCTTCGGCGAATGACGACGAACGAGTAGAAAACGTGTCTACAGCACGCTGGAAAACCGCAGCAAAGGCTAGCAAAAACGGCAAATCGTATCCCAAGCGAGTGAAGTCCGGTGGCTTCACTTGCGCTGCAGCGAACAAGCGGGGAAGCGCGATCCAGCAATTGTCATAGAGATCAGTGAGTGAAGCCAGAGCCGTATATGTAGAGAGTTTGGCCATTCGTTGGGAAGTATAGGAGACAAATGAAGCGGCGCCATTGGCCGAAAGCGGGCTGGGCGTGTTCCAGGACGTCTTCAGAAATTCGAATGTGACCAACCAGAAGCCGGAAATAATACCCTGGCGGTGGTCGCGAGAAACAAACCTGATAACTGCATTGGAGCAACTCTCGATGGCTGAAAATAGGGTACACGTGATGTTTCAATCACACTCACTGATCTCTATGACAATTGCTGGATCGCGCTTCCCCGCTTGTTCGCTGCAGCGCAAGTGAAGCCACCGGGCTTCACTCGCTTGGGATACGATTTGCCGTTTTTGCTAGCCTTTGCTGCGGTTTTCCAGCGTGCTGACGACACGTTTTCTACTCGTTCGTCGTCATTCGCCGAAGAAGTTTTTTGAAGACTCTGTGTATTGTTGAGACTTGCCGTTGTGAACACGTGGAAAATTTTACGAAAGTGCAGTGTCGCAGGAAAAAGGCACAACGCGTCGAAAGGAAGGGCTGGCGGCGTGTTCAAAGATTCCTTGGCATGCCGAAGTGCCGTGTCTCTGTGCCTTCGCACGCTTGGATACCGACCAAGAACCGACGCCGTGTGTATGTGTTCAGCGAGTGCAATGTGCGTGAAGCTGTTCGTGCCTCTGGATCAGCGTCTTTTCCCCTCGCGGTTTAGGAACGAGCTTAATCCAGCGTCCACTAGCGACGGAAGATGGGGAGAAGGTACGTCTTTTTTTCGTCCTTAGACGATTTACACAATACCGTGCACAACAGCTCCTCATCACTGATCAGTGCTGGCTTATTATCAACCTACGCGACTCGCCTAATTGTAATTGGTCAACAGATTGCACACGACCATATCGGCCGCGCTTCAAAGATTTTCATTCTCGCCGTCTTGTACTTTTGCTTTCGAAAACCCCCCTGGCTCCACGTACAACGTTGCCCTATTCGTGCTCCCACGGAATCTATTAGAGTAGATTTGGGACATAGCCATGGTTAATATAGTACATAAGAATACGTACAGATCTCCCCCTTTTATTGATAGCAACTCACCGGAACAGCTGGACGATCCAGAACTCCGTGGCCGATATATATAAATGATCTAAAGGCATCTACGCGCGACACACGTTCAGAACATTGGCGCGGCGTCAATTCTTGACCGGTATCCAAGCGTGCGAAGGCACAAAGATGCATCACTCGGCGTGCCAAGGAAGCTTTGATCACGCCGCGACACCGGCGACACGTTTTCGACGAGTTGTACCTTTTGATACGGCTTCACGCACATTGCACTCGCCAAACACATTCACACGGCGTCGGCTCTTGGTCGGTATCTAAGCGCGCGAAGGCACAGAGACACGGCACTTCGGCGTGCCAAGGATGCTTTGAACACGCCGCCAGCCCTTCCTTTCGACGCGTTGTGCCTTTTTCCTGCGGCACTGTACTTTCGTAAAATTTTCCAGGTGTTCACAACGGAAAGTCTCAACAATACACAGAGTCTTCAAAAAACTTCTTCGGCGAATGACGACGAACGAGTAGAAAACGTGTCGTCAGCACGCTGGAAAACCGCAGCAAAGGCTAGCAAAAACGGCAAATCGTATCCCAAGCGAGTGACGCCCGGTGGCTTCACTTGCGGGAGCGGCAAGCGCGATCCAGCAATTGTCATTGAGATCAGTGATCACACTCATCTAAAATGATGGTGGAAGAGTGCGACTAGCGGAAAGATCGACATAATCCTTACGCCAAACGCCGAGCGCCGGGAATCTGCCGTCAGAGCGGTCACACTCTGTCCGCGCAAAACAGAGTTGAGCGGCGCATTCGTTTCTTACATCTTTCTGCATGATCATGATGAAACAACACGTGCACCCTATTTTCAACCACAAGGAGTTACTTCACTTCACTCTTACGCACTTATTAAAACCATATACGAACAGAGACCTTCGATGATCGATCGGCTCAGAACTGTTTCTCGCTACCACCGCTAGGGATTCTTTTCGGCTTCTGGTTGGTCAAGAGAGCATGCCAAGCCCTCTTTCCGAGTCTACCGCACGCCCTGGCTCTGCCCGCTCCTCCCATTGACCAAACTCTCTTCATATACGGCTCTGAGTGAAGCCAAGGATGAGTGAAGCCACCGGATGGCCATCTTGCTCGTAGACGATATGCAGTTCTGGGAGCGTTACAGAGCATGGCTGGCCTGGCGGCAGCGTGCTGAAGGCACGTTTTCTACTCGGTCGTCGTTGTTCTTCATAGAAGTTTTTTTTTAAACGTTGTGCAGGGGTTGAGACATGCCGTTGAAAACACGTGGAAATTTTTACGAAAGTGCAGTGCAGCAGAAAAAATGTCACAACGAAAATAAAAAATTTTGTACTACTGATTTGACAGCCATAAGCGTCTATACTCGGCGACAACTTTTCTTGGCAATGCAGTGGAAGGTACGTCCCGCGTCCCCTCTCCCATCTTGAGTGTACGCAGGCTCTCCTCTTGCGTACACTCAAAATGGGAGAGGGGACGCGGGACGTACCTTCCACTGCATTGCCAAGAAAACTTGTCGCCGAGTATAGTAAACAAGAAAAACGCGCTGCTGATGCCGTCCCCTTTCCCTCCCTGCCCCGCCCCTTCCGTCGCTCGTTTCTGGACCGCGAGCTACAAATACAGAAGGGCGTTTTCAAATAAGATCGAACAAACATGTCCGGTGACCATTTTTAATTTTGATGAAAAAAAAATATTTTGCTAACTCCATGCCGAGAAGAAAAAAAAAAAACAGTCCTTGTTTAAAAAAAAAAAAAAAA